AAAAAGCACAATTCATACCACAAAAAAAGCACAAAAAAAAGCACAATTCATACCACAAAAAAAACACAAAAAAAAACACAATTCATACCACAAAAAAAAGCACAAAAAAAAGCACAATTCATACCACAAAAAAAAGCACAAAAAAAAGCACAATTCATACCACAAAAAAAAGCACAAAAAAAAGCACAATTCATACCACAAAAAAAAGCACAAAAAAAGCACAATTCATACCACAAAAAAAAGCACAAAAAAAAGCACAATTCATACCACAAAAAAAAGCACAAAAAAAAACACAATTCATACCACAAAAAAAGCACAAAAAAAAGCACAATTCATACCACAAAAAAAAGCACAAAAAAAAGCACAATTCATACCACAAAAAAAAGCACAAAAAAAACCACAAATCATGCGCGTTTCCAGCCCGTTCGCATGTGAAATTGTGAAGGGAAACTATTATCTAATTTGTTTTCAATTGCCAGAAAGCACAAAAAAAAGCACAATTCATACCACAAAAAAGCACAAAAAAAAGCACAATTCATACCACAAAAAAAGCACAAAAAAAAGCACAATTCATACCACAAAAAAAAGCACAAAAAAAAGCACAATTCATACCACAAAAAAAAGCACAAAAAAAAGCACAATTCATACCACAAAAAAAAGCACAAAAAAAAAGCACAATTCATACCACAAAAAAAAGCACAAAAAAAAGCACAATTCATACCACAAAAAAAAGCACAAAAAAAAGCACAATTCATACCACAAAAAAAAGCACAAAAAAAAGCACAATTCATACCACAAAAAAAAGCACAAAAAAAAGCACAATTCATACCACAAAAAAAAGCACAAAAAAAAGCACAATTCATACCACAAAAAAAAGCACAAAAAAAAGCACAATTCATACCACAAAAAAAAGCACAAAAAAAAGCACAATTCATACCACAAAAAAAAGCACAAAAAAAAAACACAATTCATACCACAAAAAAAAGCACAAAAAAAAGCACAATTCATACCACAAAAAAAAGCACAAAAAAAACAAAGTCATTTTCCTTTTTTCCTGCGCCAGTTTCTGCTTTTTTTTGTGCTTGTTTTGTGCTTTTTTTCTGCTTTTTTCTGCTTTTTTTCTGCTTTTGGAAAGTCGCTGCTTTTAAAGCATTTTCAATTGGCCAGCCCGGCCCAGCTCCAGCCCCCACCTCAGCCAGCCAGCCCGCCAGGCCTCTAGTCCCCCAGCATTCCCCAGCTCCCAGGCTCCAGCCCCCAGGCTCAGCCCCCAACCCTTGCCCAGGGTCAGTCCAGCAGCCCCGGCCTTTATATGTATTGTACACACACATTCTATTGTTTTGCTATCGGCGCTGCGATGGGCAACATTCTAAACCCTAACAGAATTACTTTTCCATCGGCATTGTGGTGGGCAGCATCCTAAACCCTAACCAGTGTTGCTGTGCCATCAGCGCTGCAATGGGCAGCATCCGAAACCCTAAACAGTATTGCTTTGCCATCATCGCTGCAATGGGCAGCATCCAAAACCCTAAACAATATTGCTTTGCAATCAGCAGCATCACTACCCACAAGGTGCTGCCAAGCTGGATGCATGAGGCATCCCATTGGAAATGCCAATGTCGAATTTTGACAGCAAGGACTTCTGGGCATGGCAAGAAAATGTGCCGACCGTGGAGCCAACTTGCAGGGAATATGCCTGGTCATCTAGCCTTAATAAGGGGAAATGAAAGTCATATTGGGGACTACAACCTGATTTTTTTTGTGCTTTTTTTTTGTGGTATGAATTGTGGTCACTGTTAGTGTCACGAGGCAGAGCCCAATATATATATATATATATAGATATATATCTCTCTAATTTTACAATAAATATATATATATATATATATATTTAATTATATATATTTAACTATATATATATATAATTATATATATATCCATATACAATAGTAATTAATTATTGAAACAAATCTGCTTGTTCAACTCCTGTATATATAGTTCTATATATATATATATATATATCTCTCTCTCTCTCTATCGATCTGGCTGCACAACTGATTCCAAAAATGCAACTCTCTCTGATACAACTGTCTCTCTCAACTGCAACTCTCTCTGCTGCCAAGCTGCTGCCTGGACAGCCAACTGGACCAAAGCTGCCTCGAGGTTCTGCCCGTTTGCCTGCCCAGCTGCTGGCTGCTGCTGCCCGTCTGCCCGCCCAGCTGCCTGCATGGCTTCCTCTGTCTGCCTTCTACCGCGCGGGGGGAGAGTTTTGCTGCTGGCTGTTTGCCTCTTTGCTTGAACCAACAAGCAATGGAAGCTGCCTGTCTGTGGACCTGACCCGCTGGATGCTGGATACTTACTCATTCTAACCTAATTTCTGTCAACACATGAAGCCCTCATGAATAATACATATACACGTATAATTGATTACATATATATATATATATATATATATCACCCACCCCTAAAAATGTATTTTAGGGGGGAGAGGTTGGGGAAAAAAATACATTTACCGTTCTCCAAGAATTTGATTCCCCAGGACCCCCCCCCTAAATACATTATTTGACCGGTGGGTGTACGTTAAATGTAGGATCCATGGGTCGGGATATCCAACCCCCCCCAGGATCCTTTATTTTGGGGGGGTGGTTTAATACATTTTACGGGTTTAGTTTTTCCAGGATCCCCGGGAATGCTTAATTTTTTTCTGGGAATACCCTTCTTTGAAAAATGTATTTTAAGGGGTTGGGTAGCCGAAAAACACATCATTTTTGGAAAATGGAGGGAATAGATCTGGCTAAGGTAGTCATTGGTACCCCCTGCAATGCATACATTTCAGAATATTTAAGATCAAGTATATTCAGCATCCCCCTTGGAATTTCCTCTACAGAATCGGGAACGTTACTTCCTGGAAAATGGTGCATTTTAACCCCCTGACTTAATAAGGGGTACCTACCCAGTGTCAACGCTTAGTGTCAACGGTTTCAATTTTATAGAGGACCTTGGGGCCTCTAATTCTATAGAGATTTCATGTTGAATGCAGCACTGAGGACTAGTCAGCAGAGAGTCTTAGGGACTGCGATTCTACAGTGGGATACGTTCTCTTTGGATGTATGTCATGTTCTTCAATTTTATAGAGAAGCATTGGCAGAACCAATTTCCCACAACAATTCTTTCATCATCCTTCATCATCCTTGATCATCCTTGTATATTTTGGAATCATTTGGAATCTTGACATATTTTTGGAAACTTTTGGATACTTTTGGGATATATTGGAGATTTGTTGGAGATCTATCATCAGGGTTTCATCAGTTATCATCAGTTATATTCAGCAAATATGTACAATTTTGACATTTCAATATCTCACAAAAGCAGCTTTTTCTGGTTTACAGACTATAAAAGTGACATTTTTCCGTTGTGTCTCCCCGTTGTGTCTCCCCTTTCTTTCTCCCCGTTGTGTCTCCCCAGTGTGTCTCACAGTTTTTGGGTCGAAGTCCTCGAGCCAGCCTTTCCGCCTTTCCGCTAAAAAAGAGCAAACGGATGGAAACAGATGGATACAAAATGAAACAAAATGAAACAGAGCGACTTTCAAGATCTTTGAAATTGAAGGGGTTGACAGTGAACACTTGGAGCCTTTGAACTCTATAAATTTGGGAGTGCATAAGGCAAGCTAGGCAAGAGTAACTGGAGCATTCAGGTCAGCTGTCAATGAAGGAGACTTGGGGAACCTGATTTTATAGAAGGCCAACTAACCCCCCCAACCATCTACGAGAGTGACTTGGCGGCATCGATTCTATAGAGATTGTCAACTTGAAAATACCTTGGGGTCTCTGATTCTATAGATGCATTTTCAGAAAGAGGGTCAGGGCCTCCCGGATTATCATTATAAAATTGTCAACACCAACACTCTCACTTAATTCAAAGGGGGATATTTCAGCCATTTTATGGCCCATGGGTTTCAGTAGGTTTCCCAGGAAAAAAAGATCAATTGGATTGAGGTGCAGACCCCCCCATGCTTGCATACATTTAGAAAAGTTTATGTATCCATTGGCTCTTGTCAGTGGTGCCCCCCACAAAGCATACATTTTCAGGTTCAATACCCCTACCAATAATACATTTCCAGCATCTGGCACTCATACATGCCTCATTTTGAGGGGTTACCCCCCCCCTAGTTCCCATACATTTTGAGGGGGTTAACCCCCCCTTTATGTTCATACATTATCAGAAATGTAGGATCCACCCCCCCTACTCCTGAACCAGTTGGGGTCGGGGATATATATATATATATTAAAAAACATATACATTTGCATCTAATTATAGAAATCTTTATATAATGAATAATCCCTTCCTCCTATATAATTAATGAAAAACATGAATTCGACTTTGGTTCCCTAATACTAAATACCCCCCTAATACTAAAAACTATTTGCCGTGTTTAGTAATAGGGGGGGACGTTTCGTATTGGGAGGAAGGGATTAGTTTCCGAATCACAGTTTCCGAATCCGCGTCTGTGTCCGTTTCCGAATCTGCGGTTTTAGTTTCCGAATCTGCGGTTTTAGTTTCCGAAGCTGCGCTTTTAGTTTCCGAATCATAGTTTCTGAATCCCCATTCTCCTTCGTTTCCGAATCATCTGTTTTTTGTTTCCGAATCTTAGTTTCCGAATCCGTGTCTGTGAGTTTCCGAACCTTAGTTTTCGAATCCGCGGTTTTAGTTTCCGAATCTTAGTTTCCGAATCCGCGTGCCCGTTAGTTTCCGAATCTGCGGTTTTAGTTCCCGAATCCGCGTGTGACCGTTCTTGAGAAGTGCATGCCACCACAAATCACCACCGATCACCAAAATAAAAATTCAATAAGAATCATGAAAGGATCGAAAGGTCAAGCGAGGTCAAATATCACTGTGCCACGCGCAGGGGCCAGGGAGCACACCAGATCATTTGCGAAGCAGTTCTATAGGTCCAAGTGTGAATTTTCGCACGTTAGAAAATTGAGGTCCTGACATCCTTTGCCCAGGCCAACTGAAAACCATCAACATGCTGCATGCGATGATTCTTGCCAGGTGGGGAGAAACTATGTCTTTCCCTGGTGGTTGACCTGGAGCCAGCTATCAGTCACTTGAGTTTCCCAGTAAGTCTGGAGAACGAGCTTCAGGCCGGCAATGGCCAAGTCTGAACAGTTCCAAAAAACATCGTTTTCACGATTGATGGATGATGGGCAAGTACCTCTAAGATCAGGTAAGACAGAATTCTACCTTATATATGTAATATACCAAATTCTACCTAATAGGTAAAAGGTTGAGCTGTTATATAATGGTTCCACCTACGCATGTACATGGTTGCATACCGCAGCCCTCACTTTTCACCTTGCGTGAACTCAAGCTTAGCGCCTTAGCGCTAGAGGAAAACTAAGAGCCCATACGCTGCCCTTGCTGCCTGTACTTCATTACATGGTAGCGGAGCGCGCCTGGTAAGCGGCTCCTGGGCTAAGGCTTGACCAACAGTGTCAGAGCCGGTGATAGACCATTGGTCATCACCAAAGGGTGAAGGTCGAAGAACCTCACCATGGCTGGTGCTGCTGAAGAGGCCTTCCGTGTAGCCCTTCAGACAGCCACCACAGCAGCCCAAGCAGCAACAGCTGCACTGGCCGAGATCAAAAGGTCTCAGGCAGCGGGACTGGCATCCAAGCCCAAGGAATTGGAGCTTACGGGCCGTCCTGAGGAAGACAGAAGACTGTGGAGCGATTGGAAATTCGCTGCAGTCCAGTATATATCTCATGACCAAGGACGTGGCGTATCAAGAAGAGATAGATCGTCACATCAGGTCTGAGAACCAAGTGCGCATGGACCAACTCAGCGAAGCTGAGAAGGGTCGAAGTCGCCAGCTGTTTAGCTTCTTGGCCGGAACGGCCAAAGGGAGACTCCTCGCCTTGATGCGGGAGGATGCCGTTGCATCAAACAGCAATGGGTTCGAAGCAATCCGAAGGATTCAGCGAGACATCGAACCCACAAGCGATGCTGCTGCACTAGGGCTCCTAGAGACCATCCTCAAAATGCCCACACCGCCAAAAGGCACTCCACTGAGAGATGCCATCATGAGCATGGAAAGGCTCTTCGTGGATCCCCCATGATTGTTCCTTTACAGAATGCCACTCGTTTGGTGTTACAAAATGCCCCCTCCAACTACCTTCTCGTAAACGAAAACAATTTAAAAATATATATATATATATATATTTATTTGGAATTCTTTTGTATGGCCAGACATTTTATAAAAAATCTGCCATCATGTATGGATGAAAGATTATGCTAATTTGTTTTTAGTGTTGTGATACCGCAGGGTGCATTTTATAAATAAAAAAGGGTATATACCATGTTCAGTTGTATGTTCCATTATTTTGACCGGCAGGGCATTTTGTAAATGGGAGCTTGGAGATTGAAATAACATGTGCCCATCCTCGCATCACATCCTCCATTTGGCTCACTCTGAGGGATTTTCCTTCACAGGTGGGAACAAAAATGGAAAATATGCACAAATCACAAATCATTACAAATCCAAATTAAATATTTATATGCACAAATTTAGCTGACTGTGTTTTCTTCTAAAACAGTAACTACCAATAAAGCAAAGTCTTGATACTTGTTCTTGACCATTTAAGTGATCAAACATGTTTAAACATGCACAGTCCCCACTGTTGTGGTAACCACAAGATGTACACAAGATTGCATCAAGTCTTGGGTTGTTTGGCTCCCACCATAAACCATGTGACCATGTGTATATATTGAAGCCTAATTACATGCACATGTGTATAAATATAAAATCCTTAATATAAACACATACATGTCATATCATCTCATTACATGTCCAATCGTTTCCACACATCAAAAACATGTTCAACAAGCATGAAGGCACGCAGATGTCAATATGCCCATTCTCACCCTTTCTTGTATTTATATAATGCCTTGATATGAAGATGGCTGGTATTTCTATTCTTCTTTTCACTGTAATCCATTTTAAAGACCAAAACCCAGATAAGTTTAAGATATCTATGCGACCATATGCGACCACCAGGACATTTATGAAATGCATTTGCCTGGGATTCATTGGTATTTACCCCTCAGTTTCCAGGAAGGGCATTTTATAGGTATATAGATAAGAACTAAGTGGATTTGGTGAAGACACATATATAGATATTTGATGATATTTGCATCATTAATTTATCTAATTATAGGATTGAATAGGAAGATTGGCAGATCGTGTTTCTGAATGTTATGATATGTTATCATCTTTGTTGTTTGTGCCTATTTCGGTCACCACCGTTTTGTGCTTATAAACTTTACACCCACCATCTCATATAAGCCCATTGTGTCTTTCTAATGTGGCCGCCCTCCCTGGTGTTTCTTTATCTTTCTCGGTATTTGTAAAATGCCTTTGCTGGTTGATTTCCAGGTATTTCCCAACATTCTAAGAAACCATGCATTTTATAGAACCCAAATGGGAGTTTTTGTTAGATTGTTGCCCATCTATGCGACCATATGCGACCACCAGGACATTTATGAAATGCATTTGCCTGGGATTCATTGGTATTTCCTTCTCAATTTCCAGGAAGGGCATTTTATAGTTGGATAAAAAGAATGCTTTTGCCAGAATTATTTTGAAAAATACTTTAAAATTTCATTGCAAGACCTTGAAAAGTGAACCACTGAATGTTTTAAAACTAATTGTGGACATAATTTATTTATAGAAATCTCATGTTTCAACGTCTTTTGACAAACATATTTTGACCAAACATATTTTGAAAAAAATGTTAAAATTCCATTGCAATACCTTGAACATGAACCACTGAATGTTTTAAAAGTGATTGTGGGCATAACTTATGGATAGATATTACTTTCTTTAAAATATCAAACTGTTGAAAAAATATGCATAATTTTACAATTTCATTATTTTTCAAAGGCAATTTTTTCTTGCTTACCAACCATAAGAGTGACATTTCTAATTTTCTTGTTGTTTCCCCCTGTTTGGTTACCCATTGTGTTACCCCCTTGTTTTGCCCCGTCCCGGGGTCGAAGTCCTCGGGCTTCTCCCCCGTGATTCGTATTTATAAAATTCCTTTTATGGATAGAGATGATTTTTTTGAGATACAATCTAGAAGCAAGTTTGGGTTTGACTTAACTCAGGGTGTTCCTTACTTTTGACGCCATTTGCTATCAAACCCATTTCATAGATGGCATACATGTATCATTTTTTCAAAGGAGTTTTCAAGCATCTGGGCATTTTATAGTGGTGTTTGTTGCAAATCCCAATAATGAACCCGGGCAGTCCATAAACGGAAAAAAATAAAAAAAACTTGTTATCGGGATACTTTCAGTTTTTGGACGTGTTGGCATTTCATAAAACCTCAAGGTTTTATATTATACTATACCTGCATTTATATTGCGGAAATATGTTTTTCCGTCGGGCCACCTATTTCATAAATGCCCAAAGATGTATATTATTTATGAAATGACCAGCTAGGGGTAGGTACCCATCAAGCAAGGGGGATCTTCGTGGACTATGAGGCCACGTCGGGTCAGAAGCTGTCAGAACACCTGAAGATAGCTACCCTTAGAAGGCTGCTCCCACCAGAGCTCAGGGTGCACGTGAACCTTCTGGTCAAGGACGACTCGGACTATCAAGCCATCAAGAAGGCTGTATCAGAGTACGAAGTCGCAGACCGAAGGTATGAGCCCCTGAAGCCAGAAACCGTGTTCGATCACGGAGGGGTCGTGCCCATGGAGGTCGACCAGATAAAGGGTGGTGGCAAGTCCAAAGGTGGCAAAGGCCAATCGAAGACCGCTTGCAAAACATGCGGGCAGAGTCACCAAGGCCAGTGCTGGTTTAAAGACAACCAGTCAGCTAAGGCCAAAGGAAAGGGTAAGAGCTCCAAAGGTGGCAAAGGTGGGAAACCACAAGGCGGAGACGCTCCAAAGGAGAAGTGCCAGATCTGCGGTAAGATGAACCACACCGCAGAGAAGTGCTACCAGCGCTACAAGGAGAAAGATGCCAAGACAAGCAAGGTCCAGGCCGCCACCACAAGTCCTGGGACAGGAGGAACCTCACAGTCCGGGACTGGCGGAAGTGTCGCCGCACTCTCGCACCGAGAGGTGGACACATCTCCTGAGACCGAGTTGAGAGTCCAGACCACGGGTGTCCGAAGTGTGACTGCCAAAGGTCAGGGCTTGGCTCTCTGGACAGTGGGTCCGATGAGCATATGTGCCCAGCCAATTTTGCCCCTTGGGTTGAGGCCGAGACCTTGGCAAGAGCTCCTCGTTTACGGGATGCTCAAGGTACTGAAATCCGCCATCAGTGTCAGGCCAAGACCGTCAGCATGAGGCTTCAGACGGATGACAAGACTCATCTGTCGATCACTGTGACATTCCTCATCGGTCCAGTGAAACAGCCCATCCTGTCCCTTGGGAAGCTATCCCAGAGTTCCAAGGCGAGCTTCGAGGTTGGAACGCAAGAGGCTGAAGATGGCCGGTTGCTGTTCAAAGGCGGAAAGTATCCATGCAGCGTGAAGAAGTTGCAACACTCCTACTATCTTCCCTTCTTCATCAAAGGACCGAAGTCAGAGAGCTCGGTCAGTCAGATCCAAGGAGTCAAGATGCTCTACTTGGATCAATCCTACGTGAAGTTTCGGGAGAAGCTTGGCAAAGAGCCAGCACCCAGCTTCAGTAGTGAGCAAGAAGAAGAAGAAGAGGAAGAAGAAAAGGAGGAAGAACGGATAAAGGAGAAATCTCCACCCGAAGAAAAGAAGACTAAACATCGCCGCAAAGGTGATCATCACTCAGAGGGCTGTCGCAGAAAGAAGAAGCCCAAAGTGTGTGCAAAGGAGGAAAGGGCGGAGAGTCCTACTTCCAGGCCAGCTGAAAGGGAGAAACCCCAGCCACGAGAGCCGGAAAGGACAGAGTATCCAAAGGAACCTCCTCCACCTCGCAGACTTGGAGTTGAGCTGGTTGAGGCGAGCCGCACAGCTGAAGAGTCGCGAGGAGAGTCAAAGCGCCCAAGGTCTCCTCAGGCTGAGGAGCCGAAGGAACCATCTGCTGACTATGGTGGTGACTATGATGACGAGTCCCATCAGTCAGACAGTGAAAGCGAAGATTTGCGCTACCGGACCGCTGAAGCGAGAGCAGACCGCGCCAAGGAGGACACGGAACCTCGAGGTGCAACGTCTAGCTCCTGGAAACCCGGACGGTACATGTCTGAGGAAGAAAAGAAGCGGATGAACTATGAATCTCGCCAAAGGAAGCGAGCCAAGAAAGCTGCTTTGAAGGAACAAGCCGACCAGGGTAAGGGTCAGCCCAGTCCGAAAGGTAAGGGCAAAGCAAAGTCCAGAGGAAAAGGCAAATCAGCCAAGTCCCGTGACGCCGCAGTTCGCCAACTTGAACAGTTTGGCTGGATTTGCGCGGTAGGTCACGAGGAAGCGGAGGCTGAAGAGCCCCAGGCCGCAGAGCTGGTGGCTGTGGATCCGCCAGAGGCCGATGAAGACCCAGCGGCTGAGATCGAGCGATTGAGCGCGAAGACCGGATGGGAGAAGACGCAAGATGGTGATCCTGTCCTGGCCAAGCGTGGCACAACTGTGTTCCAAACGCCCGCGCCGAGGTTCTCGCGCCACAAACTCCGGACCACTTGGACCAGACGTGAAGGTCAATGGGTCAAGTGTGAAGACCAAGTGGAATGGTCTCATCTTGAAGATCCCTCGAGTCTTATCCCGGACGTGGGAGACTGTGTGGTCACTGTGTTCCACAAGATAACTGCTCTGCCAAAGCCGGTGGATTCGTCACCATCTTACGGCAGATAGCAAGGTGGGTGACCTCAAAGCAAGACTCAAACAGCTGAGTGCACCCATTCTGATCTTTTCTTAGGAGGGCCGCTGCAGGGCCAACAAAACGCACACTTCACTTCCGTGGCGCACTTGCGTGGGACTAAGTTTCATTTAAATTCAAAGGCTAAGGTTCCATGAGGGTATCTGCTGGATCTTGAGCAGCATTTAAGCCAAAATCTGTTTGCAACATATGTCTACAGTGTCTGAAATGGATCTGTATAAAAGGCGTCGAAGGCATGTCGATTTGTTTCTTGCACTGTGGGTTTCTTATAAGCCACCCTGATATTGTTCTTGTGATCAGTTTGAGCCAGCAATTCTTTATCGAAGGAAGTTTAGAAGTCAAACTTCCGACAATATGGACAGATGAAAAGCAGAGCAGGGAAGAGGCAGAGAGAAGAGAAAGATTAGAAGAAAGAAGAGTAGAAGAGAAAGAGTAAGAAAAAAGAAGATGCAGATGCGAGAAAAGGTGGGAAAATCGCGAAACACTGTATTTTTCCAATGATTTGGGGCTCCGGAGGGTCGAAAAATGTCGAAAAGTAGGCTCGCTAAAGCGGCGGGTGCGGAGCCAGCTGGCCAGATGAGAGATGAAAAATTGCACGCCGTTGTGGCGCGAAGCACATTTCGAAGTCAAAATGTACAAAACACACCATTCTCGGACCACTTTTGGAAGTTGAGATGTCGAAAAAGTGCACGCCGTTGTGGCGCGAAGCACATTTCCAAGTCAAAATATGCAGAACACCTCAGCTTCGGAGCAATTTTAGAAGTTGCGATGTCGAAAAAGTGCACGCCGTTGCGGCGCGAAGCACATTTCCAAGTCAAAATGTGCAAAACACACCAGGTGCGGACCACGCGCGCACATGGACGCGCAGTGGCCTTGACCTTCGTGCACTGACGGCTGCCTAAGAAAACCTGGCCCAAATTTATCCTTGGAAAGCTTGTGTGAAAGCAACCCCCGGCACCCAAATCCGAATTTCAAGCTGGGACGTCCCGGGTTGAATTTGCAGAAGCCTCCACCGCCAAGGCTGATTAAAACGTTTTCGGGTGCGATCTGCTTGTTTTTTTCAAGTTTTTCTCTGGAGCCTTGGGGCATTTCGATCCGGGACGTCCCGACTTGAATTTGCGGTTTGCGCGTGAGCTGCTTTGCTCCGACGCTCTGGAAGGGCCATTTGTTGGCCCTGCCACGTGTCCCTTTGCCCAAATGTGCGTTCGGTGCTGCAATTGGAGAGCGTTCTGTCCAGCAATCCCGTGAAACGCATGAAGCTCAAGGCGCAAACAAAATTAAATCGACGCCTGGCCCAGTTTCTCCTTCCAGCTTAATTTCAATTCAAGTGGGTGGACCAGCTCATTGTCATGTCCCCTGCTCTGGCTACTTTCACATCCCAGTGAGAAAAACCTCACAAACAGGGCTGAATGAGCTTCGCACAAGCAATCCCGCTTCTTATGACGCACTGAAGAAATACAACCTCCTACCTTCTAAATCTGACAGCTGCTACCTTCTAAATCTGACAGCTGCCAGTACCGTTGGGCGCGTGCAAGGAACTTAAAGGTAATGTCAAAAAATGAGTTGGGGTGGTTGGGATGTGAACACTATTGTGTGTATTGGTTGGCCCTGCAGCGGCCCTTCTAAGAAAAAACATCAGCATTTGGGGAACCAAAGCACAACTTTGGGAACGACTTCAAGAGAGGGAAGCTGAGGTTGAGTACCACCGCAGTGTGGAATCTCAGAAACGTCAAAGGGAGGAGGATCTCAATAAGGATCCGGAGGCCGCGCGCCAATGCTGGCACACATAGCCTTGGCCAGACCCACTCAGCGGTGTGGTCGGCGCTGGTCCCGATGACTCATCCTCGTCTCCCAACGCTTCAAGCGGCAGTTCTCCAACCGGCGTAATAAGTGCACCGTCAGGTTGCGGCGCCACTTCGTCCGGGGCAGTGCGAATTCGGGCTTTGCTGGGCACAGCATCAGCAGTCACGTCCCATGGCAGGCCTCGAAACCCTAGGAATGCTTCAGCATCCCATCGGTTCATAATATACAATTTTTGTTTCCCGGCAGCCGGCCGGCAGCCGGCCGGCAGCCGCCGGCACCCCGCACCGGCCGCAACCGGCCGGCAACCCGCATCGGCCCGCCCCGGGGCAACCCGCACCGCCGGCCCAACGGCCGGCGGCCGGCAACCGGCCGGCACCGGCACCGCGACCGGCCGGCACCAGCCGACACCCCGCCCCGGCCGGCCGGCAACGAGCCGGCCACCGGCCGGCAACCGGCCGGCAACCGCACGGCCAGCGGCCGGCCACCGGCCGGCACCCTTTCGGCATGCAACGCGGCCACCCGCTATGGAAACAAGCTATACTATACTTGGTGGATGGTTTTGGTCTAAAACATTTGCAAGTAACATGCAACCTAGTTGTAAAGTATTTACAACCTAGTGTAAGTTAAGCTAAGTAAGCTAAGTGTTTATCTTATTTTACGCTAGTTGTAAGTATTTACTAAAGATAAACTAGATAGTTAAGTTTTGTAAGTTTTTTTGGAGTTAACAAAAAACCAACCAGAATAACTTATAAGTAACTTAGGAAATTTAACTTCTTTTTGGGATTTAAGAGCTATTTTTTGTCTTGCGTAGGACATTAGAACTTGTCTGTTGGTTTCTTTTGAGAAACACAATATATAATATATATATATAATGTTTTCATTCTCTTGAGTTGCCCGGTTCCCACATCTGCCATGTTGCAGCTAGATCCGCTGTCACTTCTTTTTGATGTTGTATTCAATCTGTTTGTTGAACATGCCAAAAGTTAGGCCAGCTTCTCCGACATTGCAACAGCTTCTGCGAAACGCAACACTACTTTGAAGACGTTGACGAACCATTTCAATTGCTTCTATAGGTTACTTCCACCTAAGCCCGTACAACATCACATTCAACATTCACTGAACTCCTTGCCCCTTTCGAATGCATTGTATGTCCAACTGCGATTCTGCACCAGCCCGATTGTAAATACGCAACTTCCCGTATTGTGCAACTCCGCTTGTGCAACGCGGGTCTCCGGATTGCGCAACTCCGCACGCCCTCCCTATGATCCCATGCCGACCCTTGGGAAACCCCATGAACTTCAAATTGACGTTGAATGTGTACAAGGGTAAGAAGATATCCAAATCCCACCCCCATGGAATTTCAAATTGACCTTTGAGTGTGTACAATGGTCGGAAGAAGATATGAAAAAATGCACACCCATGGAACTTCAAATTGACCTTGAGTGTGTACAATGGTAAGAAGATATCAAAATTTCCACCCCCGTGGAACTTCAAATTGACCTTGAGTGTGTACAATGGTAAGAAGATATAAAAAAAATCCCACCCCCATGAAGCTTCAAATTGACCTTCAGTTTGTACAACGGTAAGAAGATACCAAAATTTCCACCCTCATGGACCTTCAAACTGACCTTTGCGTGGGTGCAATGGTAATTAAGAAGACGTCGAAATTCCCACCCCCATGGAACTTCACATTGACCTTTGAGTGTACAATGGTAGGAAGATATCAAAATTCCCACCCCCATGGAACTTCAAATTCACCTTTGAGTGTGTACAATGGTCGGAAGAAGATATGAAAAAATGCACACCCATGGAACTTCAAATTGACCTTGGAGTGTGTGCAATGTTCAGAAGATATCAAAATTCCCACCCCCATGGAATTTCAAATTGACCTTGAGTGTGTACAATGGTAAGAAGATATCAAAATTTCCACCCCCGTGGAACTTCAAATTGACCTTGAGTGTGTACAATGGTAAGAAGATATAAAAAAAATCACACCCCCGTGGAACTTCAGATAACCTTTGAGTGTGTACAATGGTAAGAAGATATCAAAATTCCCATGTACAATGGTAGGAAGATATCAAAATTCCCACCCCAAGGAACTTCAAATTCACATTTGAGTGTGTAAAACGGTATGAAGATAACAGAATAACCACCCCCAAGGAACGTCAAATTCACCTTGAGTGTGTACAATGGTTAGAAGATATCAAAATTCCCGACCCTATTGACCTTGAATGTGTACAATGGCAATGAAAAAGTTATACAAATTCCCACCTCATGGCATTTGAATTTGATATTGAGTGTGTACAATGGTAACTAAGAAGATATCAAAATTCCCACCCCCACCAAAATTGAAAATTGACCTTGAGTGTGTACAATAGGGTTTTTGCTTTTTCAACTTTGACATGGCATGCAAGTGTCAACCTCGGCCTGTGGCACTTGGAGATCGGATTGATACGTTCTGTTGTTTTCTACATGATATGAGCTTCTCCTGCATGGACTTTCAGAATCCCAGCAGGGAGTTTCATGATCTGATTTCTGGGTTTCAAAATCCCTCTTCAGAGTTTCACAATCTGGTGTTAGAGTTTCACAATCCCCCCGGCAGAGTTTCACAATACGATTTCCCAGTTTCACAATGCAAGTTTCACAATACGACCTGCAAGTTTCAGAATACAACCTCCAAGTGTCACAATCCAAGTTTCAGAATCCATTCTCCACATTTCGCAATCCGATCGCCAAGTTTCACAATCCGACGTTGACCTGTTCACCAAGGGTTTCTTCAAGGTTTCCTTTGAATTTCTTGATGGTTCCTTGCATTTTTCTTCCGGTTCCAGTTAGTGCATGTTCAAAGTTTTTGCAAGGTTCCTTCAGGTTTCTTTCCATGTTTCTTGCGCGTTTGTTTCACGGTGTCTTGATGCGTTTCTCTTACAATTTCTTTGCGGGTTTCTTTTGGTTTTCTTGCACGGTTTCTTTTAAGTTTCTTGCTGGTTTCTTGACGGTTTCTTTCTGGCACGCATTTTTCCATATTTTTTCGACAGCTTTCCCCGATCGAGGCCCGCAACAGAGGAACCACAGACCCTATTTTCGCGCCCCTAAGAGCCACCTATAAAAATACATAGTTTCGCGCCCGACAATGTTTTGACCCGCAAATTCAAACGCTGCCAGGTTTTTTCAT